GGAGGTCATTTTCTACGTTAAAGCTAGTATAAATATAAGAGTAGATAACAAGTTTTTCGCATATACTTGAGAAAACCCAAAAAGTTCATGGCACAAATTGCTAAATATACGTGAACTATATTTTTGGAAAAAGCCATGTCAAGAAAACTTAGAAAAGTTATGGGATCATCACCAATAACCTGTGATCTAGACCCATGAAGATAGAGGCGGACACATATTATAGGGAAATGGGTTACCGGCACCTAAATATTATGGCAAAAATTCTATATATACTTACAAATATCTTTAAAAAAATAGTCAAATATTAGCACAAATCATGTACTAATTAATCTTTAATAGTAATAAATTTATATTGAATGTCATGGAGTTCCCGACCCCTGAATCCTGATGTGGTACAAGTTCAATAATTAATATACACTAATATACATCTTTATTTTGGTTCTTATCTTGATCCAAAAAGAAATGTTAAAAAATCTCCAAATATTTATAAAAATATTCAATGAAATAATTATCACGATCCTCTCCGCGTTAATGATGAAATTGTCGGAGGAGTTTAGGTACATTAAATGTTTAATATTGGTTTTCTAAAATAAACTGATTGATTAATTATAATTAATTTGGGTTCATATTGACCAGAGTTATTAGTTTATTTACTCAGCGTTGACCACGCTGTCAACTTTCGCCAGCTCGATTTCCGCTGTATAGAAATTTATTCTAATTGCTAATTGACCTTTCTACCCTTGTTAACACTGTAAAATAAATCCATTTCCAAGGGTAAAAGGGTAATTCCATATAATTTTGAATAAATAAACCAATTGCTTATACGTCGTACAAGATAGTAACGTATAAAACAAGATTTGGAGGAGGGGAGGTTAATTTGAATATTTTCGAGATATGAATTTGGAATTATTTATTTCCCAAGAACGAGAATAACTTAGGTAAGCCTTTATTTTGCCATGGCATTGATGATAAGGTATTTTAGTATTATTTATTTTCACATGATAAGGTGGGAAGGTATTGGATTCACGTCTCTTGCCTAATTCAACTTTGCTGCTCATAATGATGAAAGATTATAGTTATTCTGATTGATTGGTTTTATCTTTTACTTTTAAAATTGTATTCATGAAAATACTTATAATTTTAAAATTATGAATCTAATCCTATTATTTATTGTAAAATTAGTGTTATAAGAGAGCATGGAGGTCGAGTATTAGGTAGAAGGTTAGTAGGTAACCGTTCATTTTCTTTCGGAAGACTGTATTCTAAATTTAGAACACCTTTATCTGCTCCATCTTTTCCTTATTAATATTGTTACTATATTTCTAATACAATATTATCTTATTCTTCAAATTTATAACTACAGTTGTTTCTTTCCCTTGGTCATCTTACTATTTTTGCTATTAATACTTTCTTTCGTCAGTATTTTTATCATAGCGTCTTAATTCTTCTATTTTCCAAACCTATTTTGAAAATGCTTTTTTTAAGCTAAGGGTCTATATACAAGGTAAGGATTACGATCTGTGTATGCTTTACCTCCCAGATTAGAATCACACTAGATATATATATATATATATATATATATATATATATATATCTAGTGTGATTGTTGTTGTTGAAATAATTTAAGTTGTAAAGTGCGTCGCTATGGATCGAGGAAAACTATTGCCAAATATAGGGGTCAAGTTAAGAAGTTGATGACCAGCCCTTTTGACCTATGATTCTCAAATATTTTTATGCCATATTTTTACTTTTTATTATGCGATGGTTACGTACCTCCTTTTTTTAGGAGCTCATTGGTTAACGGTTACGATCTATATGTTTATTTTATGCTTATCTATCACATAATATGTGGAAAAATAGTTGTTGACCGCTACTTTTTAACTGTAAAAGTCTTTTAAAACATGGTTAAATATAGTATGCAAAGACTCATCCATATCCCATATTTGTAGCGTTTGGTATGTGTTTGCATATAGAATTATCTCACTTAATTATGATTAAATAATATTGTATACTGTCAAAATCAAG